ATTATTATTATTATTATTACTATTATTAAAAACAAAGCACTGTGACAAAAACAAACCCATCCACACAAACGTACACATGGTGTTCTCGAAACGACCAAAACGACCTAATTACATGTATAATGAAGACTGTTACAACAAAGGATCGTCTGGGCAAAAGTGCTCTTTTGAAGGCATACATTCGCCAGTAATATAATATATTCACACACCCATATCAGTAGCCATATCTTTGAAATTTTCAGTGGTTGAATGGATGGCGCCACTGGAATGTCCTTTTCTTGTCTTCACACTGTTGCTTTTGTCCGCCTATCGAACATTTTTTTCTGCGCAGGATGACTGTTATTGTGTACCAGTGCTTCTGTTTATTCATAACTATTTGAGCTTTTTTAAAGTCGTTCTATGACGAGGTGGTAGTTCATTATAAAAAGAATGCCTTGACCGACTACTTTGATTCCGACACAACGAGTCTGACTCCGATCACTATGGAAGCATTTAGACCATACGGAGATAAGCACCTCTTACGGACAAATGAGAAAGGCAAAAAGAAATATAATACAATGCTAACGTCATTAGAGTAAATTTAGAACATTTATGAAGTGGACGGCTTCAACTCTGTCTTCCCAGGCCAACCCGGGCAGAATGGGTTGCAACATCCTATGGGAAAGACAAAGATCATCATCATCATCATCCGGTGCCAGATCTGCGACAAAAAAATCTGTGATCATGGTTCTCCATTCATTCCTTTGCTCGGATGCTCTTAATAAAGCTACGTTTCCCTGATCTTTCCCCGTTACCAATGTGTTTAGGTTCCCTAAGTAGGTTGCCCCTGCCTCCTTTGCCTTCAATTTTGCCAGTGAGACAAAAAGATACTTGATTAAATAGACGTATTCTCACAGCAATTAAACCCATGTCTTTTGTGAGCAACGGTGAAGAGAGCCGAACCGTAACACCGCCAGATGTCAGTCACGTGGTCTCTTGGGGCTAAGTAACGCCAAGCATACTGAAGTAGCGTATTGTCCTAAGGCTACGGCAGTGATGATCACTTTACAACTTGTTTGGATTACCCTTTTCTGCCCACCAAAAAGGACTCCTTCAGGGAAAATATGGTCAAGCTGTCGAGACAAAGTTATACTCTTAACTCAATTCTGCAAAGATTTTCAATCTTTCGATACATTCTTAGAGTTCGATCCATTACGTTTGAATTACTGAATTCGTTCTTATGGCTAAAATTATCACAGAACACGCTTTCAACATTATCAACCATTAGAAAGGACGAGATTGCAATAGCTCCGGGCTACAATTTTCATTTTCTCCCACAATTCCTAGCGTTATTGTCGTGTGTCAGGCGTGCCAGCGTCCCCGTAAAAGGCCATCAGAGACGGCATGGTTGCCGGTAATTCCAGGATTATTGCGTAATTTGGCGGGCTCTTAGCCCGCGGCCATGCTTCTCGTGATTTGGAGTGCGTCATCTTTGCAACGACAATTCGAGTATCTAGCATCTGGGAAGAGCGCGAGGTATGTGTACATTGTTCCATGTTCACTCGAGCCTGCCATCCCGCGTAGCGACATCGAGGGTCGCCGCTCGCTGCTTTTCATTCGTGAGCTGTGTCACGCACGCGCTTAAGAAACGCATGAGAGCAGGAAGAGGAGGAGAGGAGAGGAGATGAGAGGGAGGGGGGATAACATCTGAAAAGAAAACGGATTGCTTAGTGGAGACTACTTCTTCATCCGATCGGTCTCGCTTCACTGATTTCACAGTTGTAGGTCACTGGAGGGAAGAGGGTATCTTGCTCATTAACTAGACCTTTGTGTCATCGAAGAAACGCGAGTGTCTGACAGATTTTCATACGCACACAGTTAGAAAAAAAACCTCACATAGACTCTAGGCACACATTCAGGGTATATAGAAAAACATGGACACCCAATTAGATAGAAATACACACACACACACGCACACACAAATACACGCTCACACACACACACACACACACACAC